TGGTCCGATGATCCGATGGTCTGCTGATCCGATGGTCCGATGATCCGATGGTCTGCTGATCCGATGGTCTGCTGATCCGATGGTCTGCTGATCCGATGGTCTGCTGACCCGATGGTCTGCTGATCCGGTGGTCTGCTGATCCGATGGTCTGCTGATCCGATGGTCTGCTGACCCGATGGTCTGCTGATCCGATGGTCCGATGATCCGATGGTCTGCTGATCCGATGGTGAACTTGGGGGAGAAACTTGCGACTCGGGTGAAAACGGATGCAAAGAGTCAGTTTTAAAGGCATGGTTTGAGGCATTGCCGTAAGCAAAAGCAAACTCACCCAATCTGCTTACTACTTACTGGGTATGGTGAACGCTTCATGAACCCGACCCTTGCGGTCTACACAAACACACACTTAGACACAAAAACTTCCAGTATATAAGTGGTCCACGGTGTGAATACGTAGCGCTTGACGTGGGAATCCCAAAAGGAATCCGAGTGCAAAGGAGGCCATGTCTGACAAAACAGCCACCCATCCAGCATGCGCTGCCGCCGCAATCGTGAAGAGGATGCAACGAGGAGAAGCGAGGGAGGATAGGTGGAATGAGGAAGGATAGGAGAGGAAAGCAGCGCAGCGCATGAATTGTGGTTGGGTCTACGCTTGAACCACGCGAGGTTTGTATTCCGAGAACACATGAAGCCGCAAGCATGGACTTTCAAGCGCTGGTCTACAGATAGAATGCCAGCCGATGCACGGGGAAAGCGTAAACACGTGATAGATGTCTGGAGATGTTGACTTAAGCTCACCGCGCTGTTTTCAGGAACCTCCTCCAGAGCGTCCGGTTGAAGAACTCCCCGCGGCTCCTTCCAAGGTGGGGGTCCCTGCGAAGTTGTCCTAAAGCATTCCAAACAAAATACTGCTGCCTTAATCCCTGGGGCTTGTGTCTTGGAAGACGATTGAAAAATGCGCATAGGCATCTGCACCCGCTGGTGGTGGTTCTGAAGCTATTACAGAGCCAACCAGATTGGAGCCAGAGGCACATCTTTTTCCTTGTTCACCGTTGTTTTTTGGCCACAGCGAAACACATGAATCCGTAAGATTTAAGATGGATTTTCAAGCCCCATTTTACAGATAGAATGCCAGCCGACGGGCGGGAAGCGTGATGGGTTATGGGGAGGCGATGACAGTTTGAAGGCAACCCATTTCTACAGACAATAATGTCATTGGGAATCATGATTCGAGATCTCAGCAAAGGTTTGAGAAGACAAATGTTTACTGTTTGGCCATGTTTGGCCTTTCCAGGCGTCCTGCCAGCAGCATCCTGGCATGCCGGTGGAGGAGTTTCGGCAGCTCGAGAAGCTGTACGAAGCTAGAATGTCGAATGAGCCAGAAGTGTCCTGGATCCCTGTGAGCATCGCTTCAATGACAAAGCTCTTGAATATGTGTGGTGGTCAAACACACATGCCTGTGGATGCACCATCTGAGGAGGCCAAACCGGTTTTGAAGACATCGTCGTCATTGTTTCTTCACTATAAAAAAAAATATATATATATATATTATATATATATACCCCTGATTTAAGGAGGGGGCCTGAAAAATGTAACTTACACTTTCCTTTTCCGATGCTTCTCTATATTGTGGTCTAAATTATATACATGTTTACTCCACGGGCAAATTTTCTGGTCCCCCGATTTTTCATTTCAGGGGACATAACTACATATGTATATATATACGTTTCAATTGAGAGTGATCATTACCTATATATATATATACTTAGATGGATAGGTGGGTCGGTAGGGAGAAATAGGTAGGTAGGTAGTAGGTCGAATGCTGGGCTCCTTTTGTGTGGGAACCATTGATCGTTGTGCAGATAGAATGCGTGTATCCGGGTATCTTCCAAAGGATCATGTTTCCTCTGTTCAGGTGTGTTGCAAGAAGCGTTGTGGAGTACCCATAGAAGAGTTCCGAGAGCTCCAGAGGCGGCGAAAGGCTCGTAGATTGAATGAGCCTGCTGTGTCATGGACCTGTTTGATCTTCTCTTCAATGGAACGCTTCTTCAACGATCCTGACTGTGAGACTGGAACGCCTGTGGAGGCACTTTCTGGGCTGTGATTAAACAAGTTTTGAAGACGGATTCGTGTGCATACTGATACTATACATGTATATATATATATACACAAATACAGTTATATAGATTCTGAGGCAGGTGCAGAGCCAACCAGACTGGAGTCAAAGGCGCATATCTGTTCACGATCAACGGATGTTGTTTAGCCACGGAGTGATCAATCATTACATATATATAGAGAATAGTTCAGGCAACAAATGAAACCGTAAGATGGATTTTCAAGCCCCATTCTACAGATAGAATGCCAGCCCAAGCGCGGGAAACGTGATGGTCTATCTGGAGACGAAGCAAACAATACAGTCTGAAGTCAACGTGAAGGCATTCCATCTGATATATTGTGTATATACTTACACATGAACATGTATATACATATGTATATATAGAGAGAGAGAGAGAAAAAGAGAGACAAAGATTTCTGGAGATGTTGATTTACCTTTTTCCAAGAGATCACTGCGCTGGTTTCAGGAACCTCCTCCAGATTATGGTGCTGAAGCATGGAATGAAGCGCTCCCCACGTCTCCTTCCAAGGTGGGGGTTCCTGTGAAGCTTTCCTGTGAAGGCAACGTGAAGGTATTATATATATATATATACACCTGAAGTATATAATATACATATATATATATATATTTATATTAGTTGTATTGTATATAAATAGATTCGGGAGACGTTGACTTACCCCTTTTTCCAAGATGTCGCCTTGTTCCTTACGCTTGCAGTGCGCTTGCGTCTTGGAAGACCATTGAACAAAAAAGCTGCCTAGGCATTTGCTCCCGCTGGTGGTGATTCCGAAGTCAGCGCAAATCCAAGCGAACCGGAGTCAGAGGCGCATAGTTTTTCTTGTCGACCGGTGTTTGTTTGGCCACGGCAACACATGAAACCGTAAGATGGAGTTTCAAGCAAAATAGGTGGCCGATGACCGTTTGAAGGCAATCCAATCCTACAGATAGAATGTCATTGGGACTCATGATTTGAAATCTCAGGAAAGGCATGTTTTCTTTCAGCATATACAGTATTTACATATATATATATATATACATGTAGGGCCACTATGATAGTCCATCCCTTTCTTTGCTGGCATCGGTAGGACTTGGCTGCAGTGCAAGAAGACCCCTACGAATTGATCGGGGCCGTTCCTGATGCGGACGCTTTTGCCATGACTCGCGCTGATGTCAGTGACCAAATGGAGACCTACGAGGATCATTTGCGGAGGGCTCTTGCTAAGGAGGCGTGGGTTAAGAGGTATATAGAAAAACAGAGATGGAGTTGCCAGTTTCCTGTTTGTGGTGTTTGCTGGGTGGTTTGACCCTGTAGGCGATTGTGACAGATGTGGCAGGCATCCCATGTATTTCTAGCAAGGACTATGACTGGAATGAGCTCAGAACCACGGACGGCCAAGTTCACGGATTGATGATAAAGGAGGAGTTTTGTCACCTCTTTCTAGCTGAGCCAGATCAACGAAAGACCTATGAGATCCGAAAAAACAACGTTTCTTTTCTGAAGCCCGGGGACAAGATTGCACTGCTTGCTATATCTTCAAGGAGTATCCACTGGAAAATCGTTTGCATTCTGGAATTCAAGGGTAGTAAGAAGATCTACAACTCAGAGTTCAGCGAGTATTCTGATTTGCATCGACTAACAGAACAGGCTTACAAAGACATGTTCAACTGGGCCTCCCAGGGTTTCTGCTGGGCTTGGACTTTTGAGCCGGTCGCTTCTTTTGAGAATACAGTTAGACTCCCTATTGAGCGGGGATGCCAAGTGTGGAGGCGCTTCCCAACATCCGACATTATTCATGACTGCGAGCTTCGGTCTGTGGATTCTCAAACGACGGTGCCAATCACTGAGTCGCTATCTTTTGAGAGCTTGAAGAACACACCTACTCATCCGATGAAGAAGTCTGATTCTGGGTCAACTGATTTGGGGCAGAGTCTTGTGGATGCCATTCAGCATCCACAGAACAATCCAGAGCTAGAGCAATTGGTGAATCAGTGCATGGATCCAGCAAGCAACATCACGGTTACGGCCATTGTTTTGAGTGAAACGGAGTGGAATGATATTTTGCACCAAAAGACATCCGCTATAGTGAGGCCCTTCCAGACTCAACACACGTTGCTTTATGCTCTCCTGAAGAAGCTTGACGGGTATTATTGGGCTGGCATTTTGACTCTCCAGGGTTGCAAAGAGGAAACGCAAGGACAGATCCTTTCCGAAACGTGCTACACCAAGAACCAGCTCAGAAGCATGAAACAATTCTTCCTGTGGAGATTCAATGATATCCAGTGCCTTCATGAAGCAAGCCGCACCAGGCTCATTCGGAGCACATTTTGCAACAGAACCTTCAACATACCCCTTTGCCACTTGCATGCACCTGTGGTGCCTCCGGCAAAGCTCGATTTGAGGGACACTTGCTGGTACTTTGTAGACCTGTGTGAGGAAAGATTTCGCAGCAGCTTGCTTCAGCAAATCACCAAGCTCGATGGTCATTCTATCAGAGTTGGCACAGCATGCAGCGGAAGCGACATTTGTGTCACAACTTTGATTCAAAGCTTGGAATACCTCAACCAGAGACAGGACCGTGGTGCCAAACGGGTGGTGGGTGAACAGTTAGAATGTTTATATAATTGGCATAATTGGCTGCTTGATTGTTGTACCCCCCTCAGCCCAATCTTCAAACACCTCATGATATTAATCTTGTTTAACGCCACATACATTTATATTTGTGTGCGTGACGTGGATAAGTCAAAACCTATGTATATATATATATACCAACATCAAAAGTGTGAACAGTTAGAATGCCTGAAGATAAGGGTTTCAGCCTAGGACGTCAATATCCAGATTGAACATGTTTTCAGCGGGGAGTATGACAAGCGCAAGCGAGACCTATTGATGAGGGAGCATCCCAAGTGCAGGCATATCTTTGCCGACGTACAAGTCTTCAAAGATCTTTCAGGATGGTGCTACCATTGCAATATGGCACACAACATATCCTCGGAGGAGTTCAAATTGGACTTGTTCATGTGCGGGCCATCGTGTAAAGATTTATCGAGGCTGAACAATTCCCGCATTCATGCAGTTGGATGCTATGGCAAAGACGAGAACGACCAAGTTGGAACGTCTGGCCCAACTTACCACTTCGGCTTCAAGAGAGCTTCTCGTCTTTGCTTCCACCCCCCCCCGCATTCTAACTGTTGCACACTGTTGTAATTACAGTTCGAAAGGAGGCAAACAAGGCCTCAATGTACATATATATACATATATATATATATATATCATATTGTGTATATATATATATGTATATGTAGATACGCGTGTGTGTGAGAGAGAGAGTACAATATGCATTAAAAAATATATATAGATATACATAGATATTGTCATTTTCTCGGCACAAACAGGGGGTGAGGTAACATTTGAGACTGAACCCAGAACATTGCAGAACAATCGTGTCCTTGCTCACGAGGCGATCGCAGTGACAAGCCCATGTGTGGCCATATATGAAAACGTGAAGGCTGCAGCTGAATCTTCCAGAAACGTGCATGGTGAGAAAGTGGAGCCCTGTGTGGAGGCCCTTTGAATGTGATGAAACAAAGCTTTTGTATATATACACGCACACCATGATGTGTTCGGCACATTCTCTCTCTGTCTCCCTCTCTCTACAAAAAATAGCATTATATATATGTATGTATTGTTCCTTTCTCTCTCTCTCTCTCTCTCTTTGTTTCTTTGTGTTTTCCAACATGCGGATGCTTGGACATCTAGATGTTGATCGAATTGCGCTTGAACATGGTTGGAACACTGCCATGAAGTCTTGCAACCTGCTTGAGGCAATCGAGAGGGATATGAAAGCCCTGGGGTATTCTTTTGACCCTTAGTTTAGATCAGCTGACCATTGCCAATTTGGACCTTTTGTTTTGTTCTTTGTTGTAGGGCAAACAAATATGTACAGATAGAATGCCATAGTGGTCATGTCATGTACCGGCATTGTCTGCTCCAACCAAGGATTGGACAAGGCTCGACAGCCAGCACTTTTTGACTCCTCAGCGAAGGAACAGAATTTGGGGCATTGCAACATTGGTCACTGGGCACCAGGGCGCATCAGAAGCTGTGAGCGCTGACTTTGCTGACTGCTTGAAATCCATGCAGTCACACAGCCTTTTCCCACGAGATGATGTCTTCATGGATTTGCCAGCTGCTCCAGTGAAGCAAGGTCGCCACGAGGAGATACTCGAAAAAGTGAAAATGATGAATCCAGGAAAGACTGACATGTATGTGGATTTGAGCACTTCCATTGATGGCGGGAGATTGATGGCGGGAGACGGTGTTTGCCCATGCATTTCCACAAACCATCCAGTATTTTCCACGCGGATGGACAGATATTTGACAACGGGTGACTTCCTCAACTTGCAAGGCTTCTTTCAATCAGCCATATCGGAATCCACACGTTGTGAACTCCTTGCCAACCCTGGTTTCGCTTTGGACCTCCTGGGAAACTCCTTTACCAGCACTGTTTGTCAGGCGGTTCTGCTGAGCGCCTTTGCAGTCACACCAGCAACTTGGGAAACTGTCATCAACCGGCCCAGGCAGGCTTCCAAGTCCAATTCCACTGATTTGATCATCCGCTGGCGTTTGCGTGGCAAGCGTAAGGCTGAAGAGTTATATGTACGAAAGGCACCAGTACATGAAGGGCCTGGACCGAGAAGGGTGGGGCGTCCAAAATATTGTAGAAAAGGTGAATACCAGAGGCAAATGAGACAGCGCGGAATTGTCCGCAACAAGAAGAACAAAGGAAAGAAGGAATCAGCCACCATCTGGGACAAAGAAGCTGTGTGCCAAACTTAGTTGATCTGATTCACTGATCAAGTCTTTGTTTGCCCTTTCCTTGCTTGCCCACTGTGACTGTGTTTACACGCAGTTTTGGCACGGCATTCCAACTGAATGTTGATATGATTCGCCGCGCCCATGATTTGTATCTCCGTCATTTGCAGCACAGTTTTGTTCAAAGGATGAGAGCCTACGATGAAGCCGTTGACAAGAAGATCCACAATCCAGCCGAGTATGTGAAGTCATTGAACCTCAAGGGCTTCTTCCGCTGCTGCATCTACAAGTGGAAGAAATCTCGAGTTCAGCAGCAGTGGACCCTCATTTGCCAGGCGGCGCCAAAGTTGGCAAAGCGGTTCAAGGAAGTGCCAAATTGTTTGCGGAAGATGATCGGACTGGGCGTCAAGTTCAATATCCGGACCAAACAGGATGGCGCTTCTTCCACCCTGCCCGTGGGCTTTGAGAATGTGATTGCTGATTATGCGGCCACTGGGAATGTGCTTTGCAGTCTTATATGTTGTGAATATATATATATAGTATATATATACCAAGAAAATGTATATATATATAGACTTATGAGCTGAAACTGATGGCATTCTAACTCTATGTGACAGTGCCAAGCTCTTCCTTTCAGGCCCGAGGCCCCCTCTACTGGTGTATTTACATACTATAGCTCTATATACATATATACATATATAATATATATACAACACGACACCAACGTGCCCAGCGTGTACGCTGATGGAAAGTATATCCTTGTCGAGTCCTGCTGAGGCTGAGCGCATTTCCCTGGGAGAAGAGGTGACCAATCGATTTATCAAGAACACCTTGGCCATTGGGATCGACCAGTGGAATCACGCTGTTTCCATGGTGCATGAGAAGGACCCCAAGGAACTTCTTGCTCTCTTGGAGAGTGCTACAGACGAGAAAGAGCTGGAGGACCAAGTGGAATCTTTGCAGCGCAAACTCAATGTTCAACTGCCGCGGATTTCTCTGAAGCAGACTGAGGGTGGATTCCAGACACTTGCACTGAAAGCACTTGTTGGGGCAGGCTTGCATTTCAGGTGTATATATATATTTATATATATGTATATATTTATATATATGTGTGATGGATCGATGGATCTTTCACTACCCCACCCATCATGATTTTGGAAAACTGGTTGTCTGACGGGCATTCTAACTGTTGACTTCATATGCTCCTTCTCATGATGTGTTTCAACTTCAAATTGTGCATCTTTGCCATCTAAGGAAAGCAGCCCAGAGAATTTCTCGCAAAGCGGGGCTGTCCCAGGCTTTGAACAACAAGCCAGGAAAACATTTAGGCTGGAACCATCCCCACATGGAAAGGGTGAGAAACTGGGTGGCCTTCAAGGTCGCTTCCGGATCTTACCACGAGCGCCTCATATGCAATTTTGACCAGGTTTGGTCTTTGATGTGGAGGCCGAGGCGAAGGACACTGCAGCAGTCAAAAGCGTCTCCAGACGAGTTTGCGAAGTCTGCCGCTCTCAAAAGAATCCGCCGTTGCGTGGAGAGGGTCTTGGACAAGGATCTCACGGAAGATCCAGAGCAAAAGAAGGGTCACTCCGCCACTCCACTGGTTCAAGGCGGCATTTGTGCCAACGTTGGGATCGAACAGTGGCGCGTACCTCGAACCCTGACAACGCTCTCCTGGAGCGACGGCACCGTGAGTAGGGCCTACATATCGTGCAGAGGTGATTGCCTTTCAGAATCACAACGTGCTCAGGCCAACCAGGACCGCGTTCAGAAGATCAATGAACTCCTTGATTTTTGATGGTGGTTGATACTTTTTTTGCTAGTTTCAAATTCCCGTTGAATCCTTGTTGAATCCCCGTTTCAACGGGATTCAATTCAACAGGGACACAAAATATGAATGAAATTCTTTATGTTGGATGGTTTTGATATGTGTTTGCTAGTTTCATGAAACCCATCATTAGGGGCACCTGCGTGCTCCATCAGCGCTGTATCCTTTTCCTTTTAGTCATATTTCCATATATATCTATCCCCTTGCTCGTTTTCATGAGTGTTCTTTTCTTTTCCTTGCTTGTTGTTACTTTTATTTTCTTTGTTTTACATCGTCATTTTTGTGTAGCTGTTTCATGGCACCCGCATGGAATGCCAGTTAGAATGCACAGTTAGAATGCCACAGGAGCTGGGAAAATTCATCTACGTTGGGCCTTTGCACCATAAAACGCACATCTGGTCGAGCGAAACGATGATTGATTATTTGGCCTTCCTCGCTGAAGAACTTCGCCACCGTCGAAAGGCATTGAACCTAAAGTGGTCAGACAAGTGCCTAATATTGTGTGACCAGGCGTCGCAGCATTCAAGCAAGAAATTTGCTACACTAAAGGAGCAATGGATGGCTCAGCACAATGCTGAGCCTTAGACATCTTTATCAAGTAGTTTCTCGTTGGTAGGTTACATGGATATATAAGGTTTTACTCCGGCGTTCAGAGTAGATGGCTACTAGGTACTAGCCTTAAGTCGACTCAGCTTGTGTAAAGTCAGTTAGAATGCCATCCCCAACAATTAATTTCCCTTATATTGTCATGTTTTTTCGCCTAAGATGGCTTGCGCCATTTGCATCTGTTTTTTTCGTTCCAGAGGCGTTTTTCCCTGCACAATAGATGGCTCACTGCAAAAACTTAAGCCATGTACTCTGACTATATAGGGAGTATATAAGCATTCTATCTGTGTTTGGTTCATGCGCATGCAGATACACACTGTATATACTAGCAATCTTCTTTGCTGGGGCTCTCATCGTAGGACATTCTGTGCGGCGATAGCCACGAACTCGAGCGCTGCATTCCAAGAGGGTTCGGGGCCCTAGGGGCCCCAAATGATGGCTTCCATCAGTTTCTACACTTGTTCAACAAGGCCCACACAGCAGCCACCGTTCAATGGACCAACAACTTGGATGTTCGGAGCAAGCTTGGCCAGATGAATTTTGGACACCAGGGCGTGGTTTCAGCAAAGCTCCTCGTTTGAACAAAGAGTCAAATCAACGCAAGAGAATTGACAGGAAAGCTCTCCTGGAAGTGAGGGAAATGATTATATATATATATATAATATATATATATATATACAAAATAAGTAATGTTCTGATTGCACTGTCTGTGTTCGGGGCAAGGTTGTCAGCGCTTGATGCACTGCGAGCGGACGCATATGCAATTGACAGCCTCAACCGCTTTGAGTCACTTGGAATGTGCAAAGGTGTGCCCTTGAGTTCTTGCCCATATGAGTCAGAGTCAAAACTATCGTCGCAAAGATCTGGACGATAGTAGTATATATACGTACAGTATCTCAGTATCTGGAGAGTTTCATTCAGATGTGGTTGGTTTCCCCTTCAAAAACGACAGGGGACATCCTAAAAACCAAGACGTGTCATAAATATTAATTTTGCTATCACGCGCGGCGCTTCTTCCCTTTCATATATGGGAGCTTTCAAAGGATACCCCAGTGATACTCCACCGATACCTCTATAAAAATTTACTAACTTGTATACACAATGGCCGTCAGTGGCAAGGAGCGGGCGATTGGTGTGGTCAGCATGGCTGAAGAGGGGGCTCGTGACGGAGGAAGCCATAGCCAAATGGCATTTTGGAGGCAGGAACCCACCCTTTGAAAAAGCATTCCAACTGTATGTCAATGTGCTGGCTGAACTCTGTGGGGAGAGTGATGGAAACAAAGAGAGAGGGGGGGAACTCTATGCGTATATATATATATATGTGTGTGTGTGTAAAGTGGACGTTGGTAGAACCTGTAGGAGAAGTTAGAACACGTGGACTTCTTCTTGGAGTAAGACTGCTTGTTGTGAAAAAGGTAAAGCCAATCCTTCAAAGCCAGTGGACGAAGCAATGACAAAAATATGTATATATAACATATATATATAATAAAAATAATATCTTGTTCACAGACCACTGGCAGGAAATCTGCAGCAGCTGAAGGCGTCCCAGTGTGAAAAAAAAGATTATTGCCTGAAGGAGTTGCTGGAGTTGGTAGAGCCACCGAATATGCAAACTGGTGAGGATGAACTGGACCATTTGCAGGATTTGAGGCGCTGCCATTTGGAGGGCGAGACGCCAGTTGTTTGGGCCATTCAGCAGGACCATGGTAATTATTTGATTTATTTGAAGCAATATATGTATATATATATATGTACATTTGCGTGTGCGCGAGTGTCGCCAATTAGAGATTGTATATGCCTATGTGTATATAAATATATATACAATGTGATGGGTTGGCTGCTCCAAATCACCTCTGCTACGTGCATCTCCATAGCTCGATTGCTTTCTGGGTGTGCAGGTTTCACAGTACAGTTAGGATGCGATCGGCTTGCCTATAAAGACAAACATGTACGCATATTTGCATTTCATCGTTCTCAGGAAGAAGCGGGATGTACATGTACATGAGTTAACGTACAGTAAGAATGCATGATTTGGCCGGCCCTGTGATTGCAGGACAACGACGTGGGGACGAGGCAAACTCTTCCTGGATGGATAAGCGGGCCGATCGAACGTGAAGTTGCCAAGTGGGTCGAAGAACACCATAAATGGATATCCAAAATTGATGCCAGATGTGCAGAAGGAAAGGAGTTGACTCCCTCAATAAAGGTCCAGTATGACCGCTGGTGCTCCGATTCCAAGGAAAAGCAGCTTCTTTTCTCCAAAAAGACCTGCAGCTTGGCAGGCCGAATCAGAAAAAATGCAAACCAGGAGCGCTTGAGAAGGGAGCTGTTTTCACTGGTCATTTTCATGTCCTCTGACCCGACGGAGCTTTTAGTCCAAGCGGGCAGCGGCGAAGCCAGGCGGCTTGTTTTGCTTGAGGGCATGCCACAGAGCCCAAACCTTCCAGACTTCATCGACCAAGGTCTTGCAGAAGGGGCCATCGCTGCTGCGTTAGAGCAAGGCAAACATGAACAAGAGGAGGACCGTGATGAGGGCGATGTGGAGCTCGAAGGATGGATAGATGAGCAAAATGCCATTATGGAGCAGGACGCTTTGTGTGATGGTGGATCTGATCTCGAGGAGATCCTAGCTTTTTCTGATGAAGAAGAAGGGCTGGCTGAAGTGATTCCTTCCGGCAAGTATGTAGCTGTGAAGAGTTTCCACCACCGGCCTGTGTTCAAGAGCTTGGAAGAGAAAGGGCTCACGCATCTTCCGCAAGGAGGCGTTCACATCAGCTACCACAAGACAAGTCGCACATGGAGCGGATACTATCCCGGGAGAGAGTCTTCTGGACTTTGTTATACGCATGGAGGTAAAACCAAGCGCACAGAAGGCGAGGCCCTTGTCAAGGCCATCAAGGGAGTGTTATCAGCTCATCTTGAGAAATACCCACGAGACCGCATGTGGCGGGCGCAGTATGACAAGGTGGTCAAGTACGAGGCGACATGTGCTTCGCTGTGATCCTTTCATGGACTGAGGTGCACATGTCTCAATGCAGTTAGAATGCTTTCCCACGCAGATGCGAGGGTCTCACGAATTTATTTCAAATGCCCGATTGACCATTTGTGTCCACAGTTTCCAACCCATATATAGATACCACAGGATTGTTTTTCCTGATGTGATTTTGCCTGTGTTGAGCCCGGTAGAAACACAGATTACTGTGTATATATATATATAGTGGTAGTTTTCACCTTGATTGACATTTGTGTGGATGCACGGTCAACATCCTGAATGCAGAATTTTGCTAGAACATCGTACAGTTAGAATGCCTCAAAGAAGCTGCGGTTTATGGTCCGAAATCGGGGCCCGTGTTGCAGTGCAGGCTGGTAGAAGTGTCCAATCCATGACCATGGAGATTTGCATGTGTGTGTGTGTGAGTCTAGATTCCGTGACTCGATGCATACATACGTCTATGTGCAAATATTAGTGTCGTTCTTGTGTTTCTGCAAAGCAACATCATTCGCAAGTCCCAGCTTCGCATTCTTGAACATGGGGTGAAATGAGATGGGGAAAAAAGAAAAGCTTTGGCTGCTGCAGCAATGCGGATGCTCACCGAGGCCACAGGCGCATACACACTCACACAGGTGGGTGCATGCGTGGAAATATGTATATATACAATGTGAATGAGTGAACCTAGGCATGCATCCACGTGTGTGTGCCTGTGTGCACAAGCTACATATCTTGAAGATCGCACAAGCAATTTTGAAGATCTATATATATATATATATATACTTTATTTGTTTGAGAGGACTGAAAGTTGGAATACCAGCTGGCATTCTATAAGTTGCAAGCCATCATACATTGCCCAGAAACACCTCATTGGGAAGCATTCCAACTGTGTGTTCCATCCTTCCATCCATCCATCCATCCATCCATCCGCCTACCCCACCC